TGTTGTTAATTTTCACAGAAATATATTCATAAGGGTATCGGTAAACATATCCACAAACAAAAACATACACAAAAAATACATACATTGCATATAAACACATGTTGTATACAAACATACGCACGCAAATACATTAAATTACACTGTTGGTTACTAAATGGTGTCAAGTCATTTTCGACATGAACTGTCTATAATTGTTTTGGTGAAGCTCCTAAATGCCTGATGTTATCGTTTGCTCCGTTTGGACGTGAGTGCCTGTCTGTCTATCTGTTTGTCTGTCTGTCTATTTGTCTGTCTGTTTGTCTACGACGATGATTAATGGTAGGGGTATAGTGGTTATGCTGATGTTTTTAACGTCCACCACAGTAAAAAGTAACAATGGAAAGTAAAACAAAATTTAAATTAAAAATATTAAACCTTGTTTGATCACAAAACAAATTTTAATGTAGAAAAATAAATTAAATTCTGGCAAAAAAGTGGTAATAAAAACCGTACACAGCCAGACAGACTATGTTTGTGTTGCTAAATTGTTACATAAATAAAATTCATAAATGGGAGAATATAATAGTTATATAATTATACAATAATTTTTGATTATTTTTCAAAACTATGACATTCACATGGATGCAATCAATTGATGTTAATTAATTAATTCAAATTTTGTGTGGTTCTTAAAGAATCAAACTAACTTAAAAATTGGTCATATTAATTCACGCCTAGCATCACGAAAATTTAGAAATGACGTGAATATAAAATTAATATATATAAATAATTATTTGTTGTAATAAAATAGAAAATTATAATATAAATAAATAAATATTTGTAATTATAAGTCTTCATAAATCGTTTGTCTCATTGTAGTTTCTTAAAATATCAAGCCTAGCTATATGAAAGAGAATTCGTATCAATCGACAAGCATCAGCATTGAAGATGTTATCAAGATATCTATCCCATTCCGATGAAGAGTAACAAAGTTGGGATTGTAATATTATATAACATGATTAACAGAAAGGTGAATTTAACGTTATATTGTTTTGTTGTATTGCGTTGTGTTGTAATGTGTTGTATTGTATTGTGATGTGTTGTAATGTGTTGTATTGTATTGTATTGTGATGTGTAATATAATCTGTAACATGCAAACAGACTCATATAAATATATATAAAGAAAAAGACAACCACAAAAACACATACAGAATAAAACTAGGAAGCTATGCGAGAGTAATTTAAATGATCAGAACCAGCCATATTGACCCACAAACTATTATTGTAAATTAATTTAGTCACGTATTTATCTCTGTAAAATTATTGTCAAAAATTGGAGAAAGAGAAAGAGAGAGAGAGAGAGAGAGAGAGAGAGAGAGAGAGAGAGAGAGAGAGAGAGAGAGTGGAGAAAGAATCATAGACAGAGATGTGGATACAGTGGAACAAAAAAGGACAGACAGAGGTCAAATAGATAATTATAAACATATCATTGATTACATGTTAATTTGTTGCATTTACTTGAAAATGTTACCAAAAATGAAAATAATTATTACTCTTCCGCAATTATATTTTTTTAATAATTTCTTCAATTAATTGTCCTCATTCTAAATGTGCACTGGTTTTTGTTACTAATTACTTCAAGATATCATCGTCGTCGTCGTCATTATTACCATCATCATAATATAATTATCATCATCATTTTCATCGTCTCATCATCGTCGTCATAATTATCATCATCGTCATTATTATAACTGTAATTATCATCATCGTCATCACCATCATCAACATTATCCTTATCATCATCCTTATCATCATCATCATCATCCATATCATCATCATTCTTATTACCATCATCTTCTTTATCATCATCATCATTATCACCATCATCCTTATCACCATCATCATCAACGTCAACAACATCAGAAACATGATTATCATCCCTGACCACGCTAATCGTCTGCATCTACCTAATCACACCATCATCATCATCATCACTCTCAGCACTGCTGTCATCATCATCGTCATCGTAATCACCATCCGATGATCATCATCAATCTACATCCTGGTCATTTCACCACGCCCTCACGTGAATACACACACACATACACACACACAGCACATACACAAGTGTTGTGTGTGCGTGTTGTGGAAGTGTGTATGTGTATGTTGTGTAAAAAAACTTGAGTAAGACAATCAATTAATACTGGGTTTTATGAGTTTTTGTCTGTCTGTTTCACTGTCTGTCTATGTATGTGTCTTTGTGTGTTTGTGTGGATTCGGAATGGAGTTATTTGTTTTTTAGAGAGTTAGAAAGAAAGAGGAAAAAGAAATAAAGGGAGAAGAAAAAAGTAAAAGTATAGGAGAAGGAGAAAAGAGGTGGGAAAGAAAAGAAAGATAGTTTATAAAGAAAAGAGATAGATGGAGAGAGAAGAAAAGAGACACAAAATTTGATGGAATTAATAATTAACTTGTTGAAAATGAATAAATAAATAAATTAAATAATCTATGCGCGTATATTCAAAATTAAAATAAAAAGCCGAGCCGAGGCATGATTTATAATTTAATTACGTCAATCAATTAATTAATTAATTAATTAATTTTATAAATTACGTTTTTTGAAGACAAATTTTATTTTGAAGAAAGAATAAAATAAAAGAAACAACAAACAGAGAAGGTTGTTGCGAGTCTTGCACGGATGAGGATGAACTCGTGGCATGTCAGTTTGACAGTCCAACATTGCCACCGACATTCAAGACAAGCGTTGCAAATATTCCATCGCTGTGCTAGCCGCTGGAATTGGAAGCATTTTATTAGAAGCACTCCTGCTTAATCTTCTTCCTCCTACATTAACAGTTCGAGATCTGTGATTGATTTTTGATTTAAGTACCACTATCAACATCACCAAATCAACTTCACAACCACCACATCCTCATCATCATCACCACATCTTCATCATCACCATCATCCCCACCACCATCATCATTACCATAATATTACCCTTATCCTCCTCATACCACCATCATCACTATCACCATATCACCGCCACCACCATCATCACCATCAATACAATCACACCACCACCATCATTATCACCACCAGGTGTGACTGGGATGAAATGTCACGAAGCGTGACATTCAGCAACTGTCCATATTATGGAAAAGCCATTAACCTGATTCGTATGAACTCCGTTCATTGACCAATCATTATCATCGCCGACCCCGTCATCATCATCATCATCGTCACCGTTAAAAGCGGAGTAATAGGATGATTTATCAGTAGGCAGGGTTAAAATTTGTCCGATTTAACTGCTGTGTCCAAGAAGTATTTTCATTTTCGTCCGTTCTTGATTTTATTCGTATTCGTTCAAAAACCGAGTTTTTGTGAAAATGTCTTGCAGCAATCACAAGTATAATCTTTATTTTCTTTTATATTTTTCAAAATATATGTTTCTAATAAAATAATTAGGTTTTTGCGAAAAATTATCTATAGTTCATGTTGAAATTGTTCGATAATTACCGAGTTCACCGCCGCACTTATAATTTTTATTTCAGGTTTTCTGGTTACTTCATCTTTGGATGCTTTGGGAAAGTCTGGTTTTTTATATTTTTATTACTTTAATTATTATCTTGGTTTATTGTCTTAATAAGTCCCTCAAGCGAATTTTAAAATTTTATGATTTCATTAATTATTTATTCATTCGTGGAATAGTGAAAAAACCCATAAAAAGGTTTTTTACTCGGACGAGACGCTTTTGAACCAACTTTCTTGAAGCCCACTGTTATATCAACGTGCTCGAAGCTGTTTGTAAAAAACTTGGCGAATAAAAATATTTGTCGCGTTTAAAAAATACTCAACTGTTTAGTTGTTTTTAAGAAATATTTTCTATTTATTAACTGTTTAATTTCAAATATAAGTTATTAACAATTGGAATGAAAATTACAAACTTTTCCATCAACCATTATTCAGAATAGAAAGGTTGTTTTTACCACCGAAGAAATGAAAGAAGTATTTTCAAAATGTTTAGTCGAAGTGAAATGTTCGTGAAAGTTGGTATCACGCTTGGCATCGGTCGTAGTCATAAAGTAATGAAAAAATTGAGATACATTTACTCTAAAATTAAAACGATTGCTGATAGTGAGGGAGAAGTTGGTGCTCAGGAGGTAGATAAAGTTGGGGTTCAAGAAGTAGGCGAAGTTGGTGGTCAAGTGGTAGATAAAATTGGTGGTCAAGGTGTGGATAAAGTTTTAAATGAATAAAAACTGAGACACGGTTTTAACAACTGTTGTAAAATTGTCATTTAGTAAATATATTTTGATACAGCGTGTTAACTATAATTTTGCCATGAATAAACATATTTAAAAATCTTTTAAGCATTCAATTTTGTGTCGATTGGTGTAAAATAATAAAACTTTCACTGTATGGATATTTTTTAAATGATTTAAAAGACGGAAACATTTTTTCGAATATTGTGAAATAGGTATGTTAATTATAATCGAATAAATATTTAGATATTACATGTTATTTCGTCAACTATAATTTTATAATAAATAAATATAATATTTAATAATTTGTAAAATAATACTGAGTCGATGGATATAAAACAATTTAAAATCTACTGTTAGATTATTTTTAACATGAATAAAAACAAAAACGCAGTTTCGATAAATTTAATCATTTTAAACATTTAAGCATTTTTGAAATATATTACTTTTGACATTAACAAATTTAAAAAACAACACTGGGTCAAATAATGTATACCAATATTAAATTTACTGTCAAAATGTTTTTATAAATGAATAAAACCACAGACAGAATTTTTGTAACTAGATTTGTTTGCTAACATTTATTCAACCAAATAAAATCAAAACTTTTTTTTAAGTTGAAACAAATGTTTTAAATTTGCATGTGCTTCATGCATTAATGATTTCTTCAACTTCTTCAGTTTCTCCATTTTAACTCAAAAGTATTTTGGCACTCCATATTTATATCTGGTTGATTATGAAATTTGAAAATCACATTCATGAAACTGGTGTTATTCGTATCAAATCAACATGGAGAGTTATGAGAAAGGTGAGACAAGAGAGCTAGAAATGGAAAACTCGGAAATTCTCAAATTAGTGCAGCCGGATGTTGTTGTAATGAAAGTTCACTCTGGAAGCAAAATACGCAACTTGATTAATTATGCATTAAAAAAATTTCAAGTGGGTAATTTTTCAATTTGATTATTACACTATTTTCTTAAATTTCAGTTTAGTTGTTAGCTGTTAGCGGTTAGCCCTTTAATCAATTTTCGTTTAGCGTCCAGAGACCCAGTTCCCCGAGGTAGGACGTTGTTTTCTTTGCCATCAAACTAGACTAGACGATCAGTTGTATCCATTTCATAAGTTTACATAAGTTTAGTAGACTAGAGCTTTCATGTCTTGCTCGATTGTTTGCGACCAGGACTTCTTTGGACGGCCTTTGGGACGTGAGCCAGGTACTTCAACATCTGCAAGAGAAGTTATGGCACTGTCTCCACTTCGTTTGACATGATCAAACCACCTCAGATGGTGTTGCCGACATTCATCCTTCATCTAAAAAACCAACATGATGCAAGATTTTGGTAGATTTGATGTGGTCCTTCAGACTAATTTGTTGCATCAATCGGAGCATTTTCATGTCGGTTCGTTGAAGTTGTTGTTCCAGTTGGGTTGTCATTGGCCATGTTTCTACACCATATAACATAACAACACCGGACGTATCACAGATTTATAAATTCTTGATCGTAGTGGTAGTGGACTGTCACGCCGCATCAACATAGAGGCAAGGAGATGCCATTTATTTCAGGCTGCACGTATGCGTGATCGAACGGCAGCTTCAGCTGTTCCAGTACAATCCAGAACATCCCCTGGATATTGAAACGATGTGACTTTCTCTACCTTAATGGCTTCCAAACCATTGCTATTTCGTGTTTGTTGTGGATTGATGCGAGCAGGACTAACAAAATTGGACACTTTAGATAAAGTACCAATTATTTTTGAACAACGTTTGTGACACCACTGGTTACACTGCTGACACTTGATTGAATTGTTACCTACACCAGCTTTACAAACTGAACGGGGCCATCGTCCAGTAGCTGTGGATTGGATGGGTTCACCAGTGTTCATTGCTTTGGTTTTGCTGATGTTGATTTTGAATCCATGATCGGCGAGTCTGGTGTTCCAATCTTCAAATATCTGTGCTGCATTCTGCTCAGACGTGGCTGTTAAAACGATATCATCAGCATATATTAGATTCCAAATGTCACTAGTGCGTATCGGTTTTGTGATTTCTTCCATCACAGTTATAAATAACAGTGGACTGAGAATCGAGCCTTGGTGAATTCTAATGCCGGCGTCAAATGCATCTGTGTTTCCAACAGTTGTGCTGACGAAAGTCATCCATTATTGTCTCCAAAGCTGTTAGCCCTTTAGCTTTTAAAAAATATATATTATATAATTATAAATGACATCGGACAAAGGCTAACAAATTTTAAATAGCGAAAGGTAATTAGCACTGGATGTATATGGTGAAATTAGCTTGTGTTAAAAATTGTTGTTTCAAAAAGTATTAAAAAAGTTATGTGTAGTTAGTTTTGATTGGTGGTAGTAGAGGATGGAGGGCGTGGTTGCTGTTATTTTCTATTTTCTTGAACAGCCTTGAATCAAGTGTGTTGAATATTTGAGCGACGGTAGGATATGATGCAAGTAGATAGTTGAGGCGAATTAGTTTTTTAATAAGAGATTGTAGATGTTGAAGTTTTTGTTGCACGGGAGGGAGCTGCATATTTGATGTGTGATATTATGAGTGATATTATGAGTGATTCAGTGATGTCGAATAATTTGATGCCTCTGAGACCATAAGAGTGAAGTGTTTTGAGTGTGTTTTGAGTGTGTTTCAGCAAATTTTTAAATAAGTGCCATATCATGTTCATTTTACACTTACGACAGAAATGAACAGCCTCCTAATTCAAATGTGTTTCCAAGACGCATTTGGTAAAAGGAAATTTACCAGTTTTTATTGGGACCTCTGACAATAGTTTGACTAAACATTTGGTTTGATTCTTCCACATCTTCCATCTTATTTCCGTTGTATGAAATTTCCATAAATAAGTTACATTAACGTTCACACTAGGGAACAAGTATTTTGCTACTCAGACTTTTTTAGGTGTTCTAGGGTAATTCAGGTGTGCTGATTACAAATCTGTCACTTTTTTAATCGTACAACGTCAGGTTTTGATGTTATAGCTAAAAAACATTATAAACTGTATAGCAAAATTTAGCCTATGTCCTTACTAGCCTATGACTTTACTGTAATATTTAAAGCCATCATTTAAAACAAAGCAGTTACGGTACATATAATGATTGTTTTAGTGAAATAAAATTATTAAATAGTAAATGTTTTAATTAAATTAATAAAACAACTATGATTTAAAAGTATTTTTTGATGGTGACGTCTTGCGTTTATATTCAGTCACCTCAGAAATTCTCCATCATGTTGCTATCAAAATGACCTTGATACCGGTGTTTCATAACAGAAATTTTCTAATGGAATCTTTCCCCCTATTCGTCACTAACAGCTCCTAGATTGACAGGAAAGAAACTGAGATGAGAATGAAGAAAATAAATTTTTAGGGACATTCTTCATATTCAGAACTACTTTTTGTATGCCACCATCAGGTTTTCTACCGATTGCACGTAGTTTTCGGCCCTGTGATTTTCTAAAAAATTCAGAACTACTGGCACAAACACCTCCAAAGCCGTCAACCCTACAGGCTTTAGTTTCATTTTGAAATTAGGGTCACGAATTACTTCACTTATCTGTGATCTGGCAAAAAACTCCGCAGATATCTTTGCGTATGTAAGAATGAATGGTCTTGAGTTTTTTTTGGATGAATGTTAATTTTTTCGAATAAAACAATGCTTCACCATCACTTTGATTTATTGATTATTGTTTGAGTTAATCGAATAAGTAAATAATTCATAAAAATAAGCATAAAAATGATATTTTTATTTATAATTTGAATTACTTTATAAAGTGTGAAAAATTACTTAAAAAACTTCATCGATTTAACTTTCAATTTCAGAATCCATCATTTATGCAAATAATATGGACAGGACACGGATCGGCCATTACGAAAGTTATTTCCTCAGTTGAAATTATTAAACGACAGATCCAGGTGCGTGCTTCGGTTGATGTGTTCTACTAACACCTACCATCTATTCATTAAATTTTGGTTGACAGTTTGTTGCTGTTAATGTTTTAAAAATATATATGTGTCGACCGTTTGAATGAAAACAAGAATAAAGGGAGGACTTAATGAAATAGTTAATTTCATTCACTTCTTAACTTTAACTATACAATACTGAAACTCCAAGTAGAATTAAGTTCAATCCTCTTGCTAATTAAATAAGAATTTAAAATGAAAATATTTTTAATTATGTTCAAACAAACTTTTATGACACGTTTGACTCTTTGAAATATTAAGAATCGGATTGGTATAATTAATGCCAGATAAAATTAGGATGCATTGTAATTTTCAAACCACCAGGAAAGAGCAGAAACTTCATCCTGATGTATTATCAAAATCGCCAACTTCAAACATTCGACCCAAAAAGTTTTTTGATTTTTGCGGCCATTCTGTGCCACAGTAGACCTTTTAAATGTTATTAAATAATTTATACAACTTTGTACTAATAATTTGAGTTTTTCATATCACCGTTCATTAACAGTTTCCATTTTTCAGCCCATTTTTACTCATCTAGCCTTTGAACAATCTGATGAAGTTTTTTAGTTCTTTAGCATAATATTTATCTGTTATCAAACTTGCTCTAATAAAGTTGCTAAGTCAATTAATTATCTATCTAGCTTCTAGATTTAAAAAGTTTTTTTGATCCAGTTTCTCAAACCAAATAAGCTGGTCTGATCTTTTAAATATTTTTAGGCTAGTGTTGATGCTGCATAGTTTTTATGGAGGTGGTTTTATTCTGTCTTTTCATGTTGTTTGCTTTACTTCATGTTTTATTATGGTATGGTAATAATGACTACTCTCATGATGTTCTCCTTTTATTATTGAACAGGGCTTGCATCAGGTTACAAATCTCGGCTACAAGAAGTTGTTACTCTTAATTATTTAAATTCAGAAGTTTTATTTTTCTAAACTGATTGTTGCTTAATTTTGAAGAGTTGAAGAAACGTGGAAGCCAAAGATGGAAGGCCTGGAATCGTATGTTTCTTCCAGTTTCTTTTATCATCTAATTCGTCATCCCAAATTCTTTCCGTTCAATCAAGCTTATATTTTTATTAATAATTTATTTCTACAGTTGCTGTGATTATTGGTTGTTACTGGTAGTACTTTATTATACTTTATACATTTTATTTTTTTATTTCCCTGTTATGTGGGGTACTGTTTGTAACTAGCTGGCTTGGTTGACGGTACTTGTCTTTTGTGTTGTTCTATTTTCATGTGTGTATGCATCGATTAGTTGCATCAATGTTATATGTAGTGTACTGCTTTCAACAAATTATTATGTATATGCAAATTATCTTGCGGGAAGTGTTTGAGGGTGAATTTAAATGAAAAATAACTATAAAATTAAATTTTTCGAATTTTGTACAGCTTAATTGTAACAAGAAATATTCCTTTAATCACAATCCTTTTGTCCAAGAATCCTCTCGACCCTAACATTCTCGGGTTGGCTTCCTTACTTTATTTGCATTTCTAAAATAATATAATGTTAAATGCATTGTTAACATGATGGTGTTAAAAAACGAGTACGAAACTATATTAATTGTTGAATTTTTTGTACGATATTCACTGCCAATATAACTTGAACTTTTAGATAGTTTATATATATTTCAGATGAAATATATACAGTTAATTAATTAATTAATTGATTTGTTAATAAACAATAATAAAAAGTTTGTTTCCCTCACAGGCGCTCATATTTCTCAACTGAATGCAAAACACCTGTCACTTTAATAACATCATTTTATTACTTCTACAGTCTTCTTATTCAATTTGTACAAATTTAAACTTTTCCAACTCTATAATGCATATAAGGTATTGGATACTTGATCAAAGATTTACTTTAAATTTTCTTTTTAACTTTTAAGGCTTAAAAGTAGTTCCTTCCCCGTTTGTTTCAATGCACCCATCTTACATCTGTGAAGATATTATAATGCTGTTGTAAAAATGGGAAAAAAATAACCTTAGTTCCATAGTTTAAATAATATTCTGAAAAATCTGAATGACCTTGCATGTGCAATAAAAAGTGATGTCCTATACGTTGTGTCTGTAAATAATTTCCATTTATACTCTCGTTATTGAATTTCCTTTAAGAAGTTTGTCGAGTAAGCATTGTTTAAAAAACGTATGATCAGAAGTGCCCTCTAAAGTTTATTTCGGTGATTGAAATTTGTCACTAGCTAGCCTAATGCAAACTCTCATTCAGTTCTCTCTACATTATTTAAAAAAACCGAACATTTTTTCAGATACAGTGCGCCAAAGAAAATCAAAAGCAAATCAACGTCTGAAAGTTCAACTTCAAGAAAGAAACTTCACAATAAAGAAATTGTTGTTAACAAGACGTAACCAGATTTTGATTACTCAATGAATTTTAGCAATAACTTCAACCACACACTAACTACTTTCTCAGTTTAATTTTGTGAATGACACATCAGCCTAATTATTGTGAGCAAGCTTTTGTAATTCTGTCCCGTTGATTCGTATTCATGATGGTTATCTGAAAATTCTTCAAATGTTCAAAATAGTTAAGCGTTAGAAATAATTTAATATTTTGTATAAGAGTCGCAGAAATATATTGTTGAAAAAGTATAAATAACATTGCGTGCGTCAAAGACATCAAGGGAAAGTAGTAAAAATATCTATAATTCACGCAACAGATTATTTTTCTGAGTTTTTCTAGAAAGCTAAAATGTTAGCTGCGATTCTTGTCATACTTTTATTTTTTAACCGGAATTAAATTTCGTCGTTAACGTTTTAGAGCCTTTTCCTTCTTGTTCAACACACTGTGAACAAACAGCATGCGTGTGTGCGTACGCTTTGACCAAAACGCGTACGTACGGGTATGTGATCGGCAATGGCGGATCCAGAATTTTGCCTTGGGGAGGATAATTTCAAAATTACGGTGTTGATGGTCTTTTTTTGCTAATTCTCGCAAAAGCCCATTCATTCTTATTTCTGTGGTAGTGATTTTCAAAATTCTTAGTTGATGACCATATTTTGCTAATTTTTGTTCTATTAGTATTTTATACACAGAATTTTCAATGTTTTTGTCTTTCATGGTCTGGCAGGAAGAATGCGTCCTAGCACTCCATCTGGATCCGCCACCGGTTCGTGTTCATGCATGCATATGCATTTTAAATATTGAACTCGAAACCTTGGTGCATACTTGTGGTGGTACACCGGCGTAATGAAAATAGTTAAACTTTCTTGTTTATGCCCGTTCGTCTCAGTGCTTATTTATTTTATTCAATATCAAAATTTTAATTTATAACAATATTTTTAAAATTATGTAAAATAAAGAATCCGAACCAGCTATAATCGCCATTAATATTTACAAATTTGTCGATCTAGTGTTAATTATGCAAAATTGGATTAACAAATACAATGCAGTAAAGAAAAAAACACAAAAATCAAAGCAAAAATCGAAATGAAGATGCAGCGGAAATTGTAAAAAAGGTAAAATAACATTTTTGTAATTTTCAGCAGATTTGATGCGTTAAATTGCATTTCACATTTCTTGACTCGCAAAATTATTGCAAATTTTTGGGATTCAGATTTTTACAACAGAAGAGATAACCGCATGTTAATGAAAAACAATTTAACAAAGATTGCAATCTACGAACATACACTCATACGGAAACATTTTCTAATTGTTCATTGGTGCAACACATAACATACTTGTCAGAGATCATTCACTTAAACGTGTACCTCTTCGCTTTCAAAATCGTCTCCTGCAGCACAAAGTGAAAGTTCTTAATACTGTACGCCATTTACAACACAACTGACTGATTGCAATTAACTAATTCCTCAATTAAATGTTACTTAATTTTAATTAACTGACAAATCCGTTAATTGATTTCTGCCTCCAATTAACTAAGACATGCATCATTAGAATATTAGTAATCGTCAGCTGGAAAATTTCGCTTCATCAAATGAACACGCCGGTCAACAAAAATGTGGTAAACATTCAATAAAGATTTGAAAACCATGAATAATCAATTCTTTACATACGAGGCTATATAATAGTAATAGTGGTATATAGTAGTAATATAATAATATATATGTACGAAGCTAATTACTTTTTGGTTTTCGTGGTTAATTTGATGAATATTACAATATAATACAATGCAAAATGTAAAAAACACAAAATAGAACTATTTTTTCAACCAAAATCCTAGTCTTTGAAAAAGTGGAAGAAGTCAGCCTATTCTTCGTAATTATTCATTCCGCTCATTACTAATCTTTTGATGTGGTAGCTCGTGATTCATGCAGAGCACGTACATCGTACGTGTCGTTCGCCGTTGCCTGTTTGTGCTTCTAAACATCATTTGCTCGTTTGTTACAACATAGTTTGTTTTTATCGTGTTACTGGCATCATGTATTTTATTTAGTTGCATTGAGAAACTTATATTAAAATTTGATAGCTGTTGCGACAATCACAATTTTTTGCCAAAGAAATTTTAAACATTGAAAAAACCAAGAGTTGTAAGTTACAAAACTCTTAGTTTTAAGCATAAATTTTGCCGTTCAAAAATATACTTTGAAAAAGTCTAGAAAGTTTACATAAATTGGGATAGTTCGTTTGTTGAACGAAGCTATTCGTACAAGCAGCGGTGGTGCAGGTGACATCATGTAGCACTTCGGTCAAAAAATGCCTCCCATAACTCAGAATTTTCGTGATTTGTTGTAGGAAAGTTGCTTTAAAATTTATATTATGAACGTGAATGTTGGTCGACCAAAAGTTACAAGTAGTAACTTTCAATTTGGGGAAGATACTTTTTTGGAGACTGTTCTTGACTCTGACTGTTTCAAGCCAAGTACATAGAAAAAAAGCAAAGATGTTATTGTAATTAATGAAAAAAATATTTATTAAAATATGCATATTAAAGGATGCCTATGAAACAGGTTAAGAAAGAACGGCTTCGGTACTAACGTTTTCAGTTCGACAGGATAATTAATTATTAATTGTTTGATTTGTTATAATTGAATTAACAAAATAAAATAAAAAAGATATCTTTTATCTCCTTTCACACAAACTTTGTTGTTACCGGAAAGTTAAATAAAGAAAGTGTTTTATAAGATATTTTAAATGAGAAATCAAGTGGCACATATTTGAAAAGTAGACTAGCGTGTACGTACATGTCAATCAATAAGATGCCTGTCATTGATCTCTGATGTTATAATCACGTGATTCAGCACATTCAGACTGCAACTTGCTCAACGAAAAATCGTGAAATGATTGAAAAAAAATAAACATCAAACCTAATCAGGGTGGAACTCCGTGCCTTATGAAAAACACCCAACCACTATCAAATTGACCATATATTTTAGAAATATTTTATTAAAACAATGAAATTTTTTTGAAAATAATCGGGCCACCTTTTTGTGTATAACTCGGACGGTTCGGTGTACACACGAGAGGATGGTTTTACACTACATACCGTCAATCGTAACAGCGGTTAGCCTTTTTGAATGGCAGAGATTTTGTGGAAAGATTTTTAAATTTGCATATACCTAGGATGCTTGTTTATTATAAATTCTTAATTTTCTGTTTTAATATTTTTGTAGTGATTTCCCAATTTATTCATTTTTGTGCTTACATTTTTTTATGTTTATTATATACTAGCCTTCAAAATTTTGGTTGTTGCCTGACTTTTTGTGTTTACGTTTTCTATATTTCATCTGAAAAACTTAGTTTTTTGTCTATTTACAATTTAAAAAAAAAGAAATTGAGGCGTTTATTCGCATCTGGCGATGTTTTTCATTAACTTTTCAATAGTGAACCTGCGAATTTCGCCAACTATTTAATACAAGAACTTTGTTTTTTTACACTTTACATACAAATTTTTTATTCTTGCTTGACTTTTGTCTCCACACATTTTAAAAATATTTCGCTTTAAGAATTTCTAACGTTTCTTTTTGTAATTTAATATTACTGTTATGTCCTCTATTTCGTATAATAAGGTTATCTTTTCAAGATCTTTACTCCAACTTCAAAGATGTTGGCTTGTTTGTTCTTAATATATTTTATTTTTAAAACGTCCATATAAAAGTTGACCGTACATCTTCGCCATATAATACAATACTATACTTTTCTTCCATGCATATTATTTTGTTGATTGCTGCTTCACTTCACCGCATTCACACCTCTGGTGTTGTGGTCTCACGTGATCTTCTAGCCAAGCTGGTTCCTTCATTTATGGTGTCGTCTGTTTAAGCTAATTTTCCCGGGGGAGTTGTGAAGGGATGGTGCCGTGTGGGGGTGTTGGGGTGGGGATCGATTCCGAGTGTATTTCCTTTATTACTGCTTTCAAACCTAACTTTTGTTATGTTTGTTATTTTTTAGTTTTATTTATTCTCTTTACATCTGCATATTACTATAATTTTTTGTTGTTTGTTTTTCATCAGAATTTATTTTTAATTTTTAGTAATTAAATACTAGGCTTTTTTTATTTTATATTTTCAATGACCTCTTTGCATTTTAATAGGGTTAACATTTTATAGGGCACTGAAAACGACATTTCAGTGCTTTGTGGAACCCTTTTTCAGTTTGTTTTTAAAACAAACATTTCAATCAACCAACCGGGCATTCAATCAATCTGTCATCTTAAATCGTTAATGTTTTTATTATCAGATCATTAAAATTTATTTTGAGTTCTTAAATTTTTGAATTAATTGAAGTGTGGTTGCTCTAGTTCAACAAACCACCAGTTTTTTTTTCTGGTTGATTTCAATTATTTATATTCAAACTGTAAGGTACGATTTGTTACATACAATTTATTACATACCGTATAATTTGAAGGTACACAACAGTTCCTGTTAAAAAGATTCGCTGCACATTTTAAATTACTTCTCATAAGATTGCTTTAATTATTACATTAAAATATTTTATATCACCTCCCATTAAAATACTTTATCTTACCTCACATAACATTATTTTACATGAGATATACACTTCATCACTGTTTGTGCGGACAGCTGCAGTAACACGTTAAAGAGTTGTGTATGATGCATGCAAGCATTTGCATTTCATTTCATTCGCTTTCAAGCGCTTGTCGTAATCTCACAAATTTCGGATTTGTTTCTTTTTCAGTGAAGATACAAACGAATTGAGAAGCTATGACAGATTTGCAACTGTGTGCGTTTTACTCAAACATCATGCACGGATCTTTCAACAATTTAATTAATTAACTAACTAATTGATTAATTAATTTTTTATGTTTCCGACGTAGTTCTTTTTCAAACGATTTTACACGAATACCTGTCATAAAAAATTCCTGAAAGTTAGTAATCAAATTTCTTTGAATTTTGCATGTTTGTTAAAAAATTCAATTAGAATTTAATTAATTAATTGATTGACAATTTATTTAGTTAGTTAATTAATTAATTAGTTAATTAAACTGATCTACAATTAATTTGTTTTGATTACCGGAAGTATGTTAAGTTGAAACAATGCTTCTGGCGGCTGTACAATAGTAACATTAAGTTCCTAATAAATTTTGTGCTGTGGGTAAATTAAAAAATTTTGTGTACAGTAACTTTCATCCGCGTTTGTATTATGTAGATACGTAGGTCGACCTATGCTGCGTCAAATCAATTCACCAATTTGACAACGATCAAGTATCGCTTACTACTACTACTGCTACTACTACTACTACTACTACTACTACTATTACTACTACTGCTACTACTACTACTACTATTACAGCTACTACTGCTGCTACTACTACTACTACTACTACTACTACTACTAATAATAATAATAATAATAATAATACAAATATTTTATTATTACTATTGTTGTTATTAATATTATTTTAACAAGATAACTAACGAACTTTAATAATATTGTATTATATAATTATTATTTATAATAATAAATATAGATAATTAATTGGTTTTGTAACTAAAAAGTAAAAATAACAGTAATAATAATAAGTTAATAATAATAATAGCATAATAATATCATTAAAATTCTTATTGATATCAATAAAGATATCGATAGTATTAAACACGTTAGTGGCAGTTTTGATGTAGTGAATGAATCATTTTTGCAAATAAAAATTTTTTAGTTGACAAATAAAAACCGATGATGAGAGAGAGAAAAACATGGAAGAAAAACGCCTTTATAAGATTTGAAGACTTTTATGAGATAATGAATGCCAGGAAGAGTGCTTTGTGTTGTCAAGCACTTACATTTACACACGAAAGTGAGATTGAACTGGAAATAAATTGATGTAGGACACGCGACTTTGCAGGGGGAGAGATAGAG